AGGTAGGCGTAGAAAATAAAAGACGAATTCAAACGCGTTTTATAAGTATACGAGTTTTAAAACGTGTAATACCTATTATGCATTTAAAATTTAAACATCACAATATATTATTTCATAATATTATTGCTCTATAGATATTACTGCAGGTACCTATTGGGCAATTTATAATATTAATTGTCAGTTTTTTTGGTATTAATAACATATAACTGGCCGTTTAAAACATGTTGTTTTATTTATTTTAATTGTATTTAAATGTTTTTTAATTTCGTATTATTGGTGTTTATAGTATTCTAATGATACTGATATAATATAAACTGCAGTTGCAGTACGAACATAATCCGCGTCACAATGATACTGTAGGTAGTATAGGTAGGTAACCCGATCTATACAATAATATTGTCGGTTGCAATACCAACGAGCGCATTGACAATATCTTTGTTCTTGAAATTTCTTTTAGTAAAATCGATTCGCGGAGCCTTACAAAATAGTTTTTCTACGCGCACGTTGTGTGTATTAAGGTACAATACAAAAGAAAATGTTCCGTCTATTATAAGTGCGCCTCGTATTACAATGATACATAGGTACCTATCCATTATACTCGTATTATTGAATTGGACGAATTGCGACATGTGATAAAGAGAAAATATCATTAAAAACCGAGAGGGATTTTTTTTTTTTTCATAAAAGCTATATAAATATATATATTGTGTATTATAGGCACCTCATGTGACTTATATAGTCACATGTATAATATATATAAATATTATATGTAACCGAAATTTCTCTGTGTCATTCGAATTTCTTACTTGCCACCGTACGCAATTTGTGTGTTTCCCATGTGTTTATATATCCGTATTCGCATTACATTATACGTATACACATCAAAGATTAGTCATCATATAATACTGTAGAACTGATATGATTTCGATTCGTATTAATTTATTTTATTACATATTATGTACTAATGTATAGTCAGAAAAAAAATTACAATGTTCGGAAAATTTCAAATTGTAATTCTACTTTTTGAATTTGTTCAGGATAAGGATAAAATCATAGATATATTATTTATTGAAGTTGTTTTCTTTTTTCTCAGAATTTGCTTGAACCAGACAAGTCCATATCACCGTTTTCTCCGTAAATTTGATATTAACATTCTTAAAAAAAATATCACTTTAAACTCAATTTTTTTTCAACAATGAATGGCTTATAATGAACCTCTTATTGAATTTTCAAGCATCATATCTGTTTATATTAACAATTTAATCCATAAAGCACCAAATACAGATTACGAAAAAAACTCTCGAAATGACTCAAATGTTTTGAAAATTATATCACGTCTATAAAATGCAAGTATAAATTTTCTGTTCAAATGTTAAGCCTCTAAAATTTAACTAAATTCTAAAAAAAAAAAAAAATAGAATTTAAAATTATAAAAGCATTATTTTCTTAAATTTTTCTGTTCTTTCTACGTTTTTTTTTTTTTTTTGGTTCATCCAACTATTAGGATATATGGTTGAATGGAAAATAAAAAAACGACTTTCAGATTAAAAATGCAACAACAATGATATTTTGCTGTTTTTTCATCGGAAGATTATTTCTGGTAGAAAATTTAAAACGTACAAATTTAAAATAATGCAATCATAATACCGTAAATATTTGTCCGTTTATCCTTACGTTTTTTTTTGGTTTTTCTCAATTGTTATGAAAATCACTTGAAAAATCAAAAAAATAACTCCCCTTAATAGATCTAAAGATAAAATATTTTCAGAAAAGGTGCTATACTTGATATATCAGAGCAAGATTCGTACAAAAAATAAACATCATTGTAAAACCAATATATTTTTCCTTACGCTCTGAATAACAAGATCGAAAATAATGAAACTTTTATTGCAGTATCATTTTTTCGCGGTTTTTCCAAATTATTATGAAAACCATCTGAAAAATCAAAAATGACCTCATCTTGCACCAACTAAATGTAGAATGTTACAAAAATCCCTCTTGTAATTTTTTGATTGGCGCAATTTTCTAGTAGAAAATCAAAATTGAAAATAATGGAACTTAATGATTACGTGATTATAAGTCGCGGTATTCACGTGTTTTTTGAATTCACGTGTCACTACGGAATTCACGTATCAGGTGAATATAAATTACGGAATTCCCGTGTTGATATGTTAGGTAATATACAACATAAATATCCGTGTACTCGGTACACGGATACACGTGTGCAATAAAACATGTGTTCTATTGAGGCTTCTAATAATAACAGTTTTTGTTTTGCCTGTCGGCAAATATTGTTGCTTTTTTAACGAATTATTCTTTATAAAATTATAATATTTTTGTGTAACTATAGTTATATATTATATGCATAAAAATTACCAATCGAGAAATTTTTTTTAATTCGATATTTTTTTTTTTTTGGCCACATGATGATCATTAATGATAATACTTGTATTTTTTTTTTTATAAATCCTTCAAATAATCCAATTAAAAAATTAAAAAATATTATTATCTACATAATGATAATTTTTATTTTCTATTTCGCGTAATAATGTTTTGAAAATACGTAATTCAAAAGAAGGCAAAAATCCAGCACATTTTCTATAAGTAGTCAATTTTTAAAATAAAAATGTTTAACGGCGATGGTATTACTATTTAAGCCATTTAATGTAAAACTTATAAATATTTTATCAAATATCTTTTTACTTTGTTTGAAACTAATTTTGCAAAGACTAAAGAATTGTTTGTACGGACACGCAAACTTGTTAAGTATGTTTTTGTAGGACCAATCACGTTCGTACGAACCC